GAAGATGGGGTAGAAGAGGTGGTAAACGACTTGAAAGAAGAAGTTAGGAAAGATATATTGGCAAGTTTGAATGATCTCAAGGAACATTTAAATTTGTTAAAAGTAGTTGATGCAATCCAACGTCTTGGCATCGCATATTATTTTGAAGAAGAGATTAATGAAGCCTTGCAACACATCTACGATGCTTATGGTGACAACTGGAATGGTGCCGGCTCTTCACTTTGGTTTCGACTCATGCGGCAACAAGGCTTCTTTGTGGCAAGTGGTAATTATTCTTGTTAATGAATCATAATGATGCAACTTGCATGAGAAACTAACTTATAATATGACTTCTTAATTATATGAAATGTGAAATAGATATTTTCAATACGTACAAGGACAAAGACGGAGCTTTTAATGAGTCATTAAAAAATGATGCTCAAGGTTTACTTGAGTTGTATGAAGCTACGTATTTGAGTATACCAGGTGAGGCCATTCTAGATGAGGCTCTTGATTTTACAAGAAATCGTCTTGATGACATGGCAAACGATCCTCTTTGGAGTCATGACTCTATTCTCTCTACTGAAATAAAGGAAGCATTAAAGCAACCTTTACGTAAAAGGTTGCCAAGACTTGAGGCATTGCGCTACATACCATTCTACCAACGACAAACTTCTCATAATAATTCGTTGCTAAAACTTGCCAAGTTAGGATTCAACATACTCCAATCGTTGCACAAGAAAGAGCTAAACCAAATATCCAAGTACGCACATCTATATAACCCTTCTATAATTTTTATTTCAAAATTTCAAAATTAATCATGGAATTAATTAGTACACATTTAACCTCGTTCCTAATGATCTGAAATTTTCTCTCAAGGACTTATACATGTTTATCGACATATTGTACGTAGATGGTGGAAAGGCTACGATGTTCCAAACAATATACCTTATGCGAGAAATAGACTGGTTGAATGCTACTTTTGGTCTTTAGCAGTGTTCTTTGAGCCTCAATATTCTCAATCTAGAATGTTCTTTGCTAAAGTTTTTGCATCGGCAACACTTTTGGATGACACTTACGATGCTTACGGTACTTATGAAGAACTTCTTATCTTTACCGAGAAACTCCAAAGGTATATAAAAAAAATGTCTGTGGTCGATTTTATATATATATATATATATATATATATATATATATATATATATATTAGTCATAAATTTTTTTATTTATAGGTGGTCAATTACATGTTTGGACGAGCTTCCAGAAAACATGAAGCTTATATACCGAATGTTCTTGAATTTTTATGAAGATATGGAGGAAATCTTGGCAAAGATGGGAAAAACCCATCATATTAACTACATTGTAGAGGCGGTAAGTTCTCAATGACACAATCTGGTTGTATTCTTAGTTTAGAGAATGAGTAAATTGATCGTGGTTTCTCCTCTTAAAGTCCCGGTGTTAAACTTATAAATTTTTATTATGCTCTATTTATATGTTCCCTAATTATACTTCTGTACTTAACGTCATAATCCTACAACAAACAAAATAAAATGGATCTCATCCGACTAACGGACCAATTATAAGATTGGTTTTGGAGTAAGATCAAACCTAATATCGTAGTGTCTCGTAGGACTGTTCCATCGTATTCCGATCCGAGCTTCTCTTTGATTTTTGGTCTTTAGTGTGTTAAAAGCAAAACTTCAACGTCTTTTATAAATACGAGTTCAAAAACCCAAGATAGTTATGGTTTCTAAAACATGCAAAATCTCTCTCTCTCTCTCTCTCTCTTTT